GACCTGGTACTGAGCTTTCCCAAACCTCTGCTTCCAAGCGGAAGCGAAGGGCTGGAGCTGCCTGGCTGCTGGTGCACCAGAGCCTCTTACAGCTTCCTGGGACTTTGGGTGGTGAAAGCCTGGAAAAAAGAGCCGCCTTCGCCTCCTGTGACAGGCACTGACCCCCCTCTGCCCGCTGCTGGGCTCAACAGGCAGCCGAGGAACAAAAAGCTGTGCCATAGGTGCCAAAATGTACGGCTTCCCTGAAAGCACGTATGGATTTTGAGCACACTGTGGGAGCTCTGGCTTGGTCGGACCATCGTTGCTGGTCCCATAATGCCCTGTACCCACAGGGTGCGAGTTTACGTTCCTTGTGTCTGCCCGGCCGAGGCTTCACCGCCATGGTTAACAAGGGCCCTTTTAGGGACAGGGAATTGGGAACCACGGAATCCTGGGGCCACCCAGCAGCACCTCACCACGGCAGCTTCACCAGCTTTTGCTGGTGGGCACCCAAAGCGTGCCGTGGGCCCGTGAGAACGCACAAACACGTGAAAACAGCTGCTCGTGAGGGGCTGCGCTGCCCCCGGGCCGGGCGGCCAGCCCGGCCGCGGCGCTGCCTTCGAACCACACTGCTGCCGGGACTGGGCGTCAGTCATGTTTTGCTGGAGACTGGGGGCCCAGACAGGCGGTGCCTTCAGGGTGGTCAGGAGCGCATGACTGGCATCACCAGCAACAAATCTATGGAGCAGGAAACTCCAGACAGACTCGTATGGAAATTACTGCACAGGCTCTCTCTGGCAGCACAGCGCTTGTAACTAACAAGGTACGTGGAGGGGGAAAAAAAAATCCAGCATTTTCACTTTACTGCACTGATACAATTTTCCTGTGGTTTAACTAATGTTCAGTCATTACTGGGGCCTCCAGCACAAGAAGGACATGGAGCTGCTGGAGCAGGTCCAGAGGAGGCCACAGGGATGCTCCAAGGGCTGGAGCACCTCTGCTCTGGAGCCAGGCTGAGAGAGTTGGGGCTGTTCAGCCTGGAGAAGAGAAGGCTCCAGGGAGACCTTCCAGTGCCTAAAGGGGCTACAGGAAAGTTGGAGCGGGGCTTTGGACACTGGTGTGGAGTGACAGGACATGGGGCAATGGCTTTGAACTGACAGAGGGCAGATTTCAATGGGATCTAAAAGGAAGAAATTCTTCCCTCTGAGGGTGCTGAGGCACTGGAGCAGGTTGCCCAGAGAAGCTGTGGCTGCCCCATCCCTGGCAGTGTTCCAGGCCAGGTTGGATGAGGCTTTGGGCAACCTGGTGTAGTGGAAGGTGTCCCTGCCCATGGCAGGGGGGTTGGCACTGGATGGTCTGTGAGGTCCCTTCCCACACAAACCGTTCTGTGATTCCATGATTTCTGTCTGCAAGACAGGAATTTCAGTATCACCACTGCTTTATACTTCTTTGTGCCTGAACATGCTTGAATAACTGAAAATTACCAGCCCCATTGACCGCCCCGGCCGCAGGCGCTGAGGCCATGAAGACACCGGCAGAACAAGGGCTCTTCAACAAAAGCTCATTTATTTCTTAGCAGACAGACTAAAGTCATACAGCATTGCTGGCAACATCAACCTCTCCTCAACGCAACGAATCCCAAAGCAGCGACTTGTGGCACGAAGCTGGGCGTTGTTCTGCCCCCGTGCACATGGCAGTGCTGCTGGCCATCTCGGTGATCCCACGGCCACTCCGCTTTTTGCCGCATTCCCGTTCACTTTCTCTCTCACATCATCCAATGACAATTTACGTGGTGCAATCGCACCTTCCGCATCCCAGGATTCCCCGAAGTAGGGAGAACAGAGACATTTAAAACACCAGGTGTCCAGGTTAGGACCGCTGAAGCAATTTACTCCACACATTATAGACACGGTGCTACCAGTGCTACCAGTGCTAAAACCCCACTTCTCCCAGTCACATAATACCCACAGCTCGTGTCAGTCTGTAAGTTACTGCTGTTCTGCACAGACTAAGAGGTGCAGAGAGACACCAAGTGTTAAGAGCTGTCCAAAACGCAGAGGCAAACCAAGAAGTCTAAAATACAACTAAATTTAAAACCAAACTAGTGAAAGAGTAACTTTAAGAAAACCCAAATGTCAGAACTTTGCGATACCTCTTCCAATCTCAAAGTGAAGATATTAAAAACCAGTCCTCATTGTCCAGCTGCTGCACACTTTGAACGGATAATCCTGCGTGCGTGGCGTGTTCTGATTATGTTTAAATACTTTAAAAGAGAGGTTCTGTTTTCCCCATGAGAACACATTGACTAAATTACATGGTTTCACAACAGCAATTTGGTCATACCAGTAATTTAGCAGAACCCGGTGCATCTCCTTTCACTAACTTAGATTCTAAAATCTCAAATTCATAAATATTTATAGTTTAAATATTTAATTTTACATGAATATTGGGTATTCTTAGCATTTTTTTCCCTCCTGTTTCCAGGTATTAGTTTGATAAGGAAACTATTCTTACTTCACAATCTTACCTGACGCTGACCGGACACCCCGTTAGACTACATTATTATTTTAAAACCTGCTTCCTAAAGCAAAACTAAAAGGAGCTGTCGGAAGAGTTGTACACCAGGGCTCACCTGCAGAAGTTAAATAATATCTTGGCTGTTAGTTAATTAATTAGTCTGATTATCTTTAAGTTAACATTCACCAGTTCTGCGTTACAACATGCTGACGCTGCCTGTCGTGTTAACGGTTTAAGTAGAACCCGTTAAGCAAACTCAACTTCTCATCAAGGTACAGCTTTAAATATGAATATTAGTGGGTCAAACCTTACAAATAATTAAAAAGAATTAGCGTTTCACCTTTCCTACGTACAGACTGCAGGGCATTTTCGCACGCAGCGGGCATTCCGTGAGGGCCTGCTCCCGTCAGCCCTCGGGCTGCGGGTGCCGCAGCTGTTCGTGTTTCCGCGCTTTGGTGGCACTTGCTTTCTCCTCAGGTTGCGCCGTCTCCCGAGGAACTTTCTCTCCGTCTGGTTTTCTGGCTGCAGATTTCGGTAGGGTCATCTGGAGCGCGCACCAGAGCACGGTGCGTACTTTGCGTGTGGCTACGCTCATCTCTCTAATGGCCACGGCGAGAGCGAACACATCTGCAGGGAGGAAATGGCAGTTTAGCCATGGAATCATGGAATGGTTTGGGCTGGAAGGGACCTCTGAGATCATCCAGTTCCAACCCCCCTGCCATGGGCAGGGACACCTTCCACTACACCAGGTTGCTCAAAGCCTCATCCAACCTGGCCTTGAACACTGCCAGGGAGGGGGCAGCCACAGCTTCTCTGGGCAACCTGTGCCAGTGCCTCAGCACCCTCAGAGGGAAGGATTTCTTCCTTAGATCCCATGGAAATCTGCCCTTAATCTGTCGCACGGTTCATCAGCAAGCACTGCTGGGGACCAGTTCACCCTGGCAATGCTTTTTAGGCCCTTTTTAGTGTCTGATTGTGTGTCTGGCTCTCAACAAGGCTGTACCAGTTCGACCTGAGCAAGCAGTGATTTTTAGCCCCTCGGGGTATGGAATTTAGGAAGATACTGTGTTAAACTCCTACTCAGCTGTCACCTGGTATCCGCAGCACCTCGAGCTCATCTCTGGCTTGGAAGCACTCCGTGTGCACACACAGGGCATCCCGCCCTCCCTGTGCGAGCCCACTGCCGAGTGTTCACCCGCAGCGCGGAGCCTGTGCCCATCCGGCCCACGAAATCATTGAGGCGGGCGAAGGAATAGCTCGTTTATGGCGCTTCATTAGAGCACATAGATCATGTTCTGCAAATGTATCAACCCCCCTGCTTTCCAATCCAAGGGCAGGTGCTGCGGTGCTCCATTTATTCCACAGCAATGCCTTAACGCACAGAGAATACTTGGATGCACAGAGAACACTTTGCCCCATCCCTGGCAGTGTTCCAGGCCAGGTTGGATGAGGCTTTGAGCAACCTGGTGTAGTGGAAGGTGTCCCTGCCCATGGCAGGGGGGTTGGAACTGGATGGTGTTTGAGGTCCCTTCCAACCCAAACCATTCCATGGTTCTGTGATTTTATTTCCAGCCAGTGTGTGCCGAAACAAATACCCTCTAAGCCCTGGAGTTTTCAGCCAGAACTTGCTGTTATTTTGGGGCAGGGGCTCACTCCCTCCTCGTGGAGCTGGGTTCACACCACGCTGCGCACAGGGCTGCACCTGCCTCCCTGGTCACACCCTGGCACGGGGACGGGAAGCAGGGGAGACTTTAAGTCTCTTTAAGGCTCTTCCAAGTGCCCACGCTCAGTAAGCACCACTGCAGTTGCATTTCATTGCTACCACCTGGCACCTGCCTTCAACCAGCATTCCCAGATTCCCTGTTCCAGGGGAATGCGTGCCCCTCTGGGAGGTACTGGGGGTGCCTTGGAAAACGGCAGAATTTCAAGGCCTAGCCTCACCCCCTCACCACCCCTTCCTCACAGCTTGTCTGGCTCTCACTCCCAGGCTGGCTTCTCCTTCCTCCTGCACAGAGCGACCACTGATTCCCTGAAGCAGCTGGGAGGACTGGTACAGTGACGGAGGTAACTGTGAAGAGTCACCATGAAAATCCAGTTGTCCAACACAAGTGCCAGCCATCCAAAGAATTTTTAGTAAGCAGAATTTGGAAGGGTAACTCCAGAGAAATAAAGGACGGAATACAGAGTGGGAGGACGTGATTATCAGGTCTTGTATTTTCAAAATTCCAATTTCCACACTGAGCTTTGTGGAATCAAGAAGAGACCAAGGAATGGCGTCACCTGGACTGCCTAGAAGAAGCTAAGAAACAGGTGACACTCACACAAATGTGTATGGCAGAGCTGTAAGACACAGTTGGCATTTGGGTCGTTACCAGAGAAGAAGGGAAAATCCCACAGGAGTAAGGAAGAATTGCTCTGAAGTCTTTGGCTGAATGCCGTGCCTGAGAGTTGCAGACACTAAAAAGGTCTTTTCTCCCCTCAGAAGATGATCTGTAACATCTGTATCTTTCTGAAAGACCTTGAGAACTGAATCCAGGGCAATCTCACAGCAGAGGGATGCTCAGGCAGCTCTGAAAGGCTTGATGGTTGTTCTGGGTGACAGGTGGCACTCTGCAATGCCCTTCTTTTCTCATCATTGGGATTTCTTCCAGAACTTTGTTAAGCAGCCACAGACATTTACAAACAACTGCTGGACACCTCGTACCATTCCACAACTTCAGAGTTTAACAGCAGAACTTTTCAGACCCACGTTGTGCATGAATACAACCGGCGTGAGGCAGCTCAGATCCATTTGCTTCCCACTGAAGTGAGTCTGTGTTGCAACTAAAGCAGGGGAGCTGGGAGAAGACGAGACCATGGGTCATGTGTGAATTTTGTTTAAATCAAAATTCCTGGAATGGGGGACACAACAGACAGGTCCTGCCTGATAAGACAGATTCTTAGTATCGGATCAGACGGAACAGAAAGGTGCTGTGGAAGCAGGGCTGGGCCAGGGAAGACCTCTTGTCAAACAAAACAAAACAGTTAACAAGAAGAAAGCTCTGCCAAAGAGGAGAGATGAAAAGCTTCAGGCATTTTCCTCAAGGCTTTCCCAGACATGCAGCAAACGTAGTTACTACGTTCAATAAACTGCCGTGAGACAGATCCTCCCCAGCTGCCACAACAGGCTGGCGAATCTCGGAGACAGCCAGCACGGAGGGCAGGAGGCAGACCAAGAGGAGAAAGAGAAGAAGAAAGGAAAGCGCAGTCCTTCTAGTGAAGTCATCAGACCCCAGGGTGCGAAGGCCACTTCTGCCTCTTGTCTTCTCAAAGCAGCTGGACCAGGGAGCAATCCCAAGGTCTGACAGTACTCTTTTCCAGACTACTTGGTTCTAAAGAGCTCACTGACTGGTTATGAAGTGATGCCAAATAAAGCCAGCACCAATTATTTTCAGGGGCTTGAACACCCAAAAACTCCCCTTCATCTTAACAAGTCACATAACCTTCAAACAAGGTAAAGAGAAACAAGAATGAGGGTGAACAGGTGAAAATAAAACATTGCTATAATGTATCTTTTGAAGTAAACTTGGGAATTACATTGCTGCATGATGGGACACCCTAAAGAAGTAAAATAATCGACTTCTGTTGTGGAAAGAGAGGCAGGAAGCCAGCAGAGGACTCGGAAATGTAAGAAAGCTTCCAACAGTCAGAGCATCACAGGTAGCAGGAATTTATTCTGCCTCACGTCTAGGAGAGAAAGGAATCTGCCAGCAGTGAAAGATTAAGCTGAATATTCTGCACATTTTGGATACCGTTACATAAAACCATTCTGACCAATCTATTTTTGGGTATCCATCCCAAATATGATTTGTGTTTTATGTCAGCCTGTGCCAGAACATGCTTGAAAAGGAAATCCATTCATAATGCCAGGGCATCCTGGTGTGTCTGCATGGATTCAGCACGGAGATACCGAGGAAGTTCGATGTGGAAATACAGACAGGGCTAGAGGGCTGATGGGAGCAGGAATATGAGGGACAGGGAGAAGAAAAAGGCAACAGCTTAGTATCATGTCCAATCCCAAACTGCACTGCAAATAAACCCTGCCACCTTTTTGTTACCTGCCAGTTTATTCCTTTAACAAATGCACTGCAAATGGATTTAACCTATTTGTCTCTGAAACCCAGTTTTAGTGTCACCCAAAACCTCTGCTAAACCCACACGGCCTGCCCTTCTCAAAGCTCCAGGCACTGACAAACAAAAGGAAACTTTAATAAAAGCCCCTCACGCTTTTTTTTCCAATAGAGTTGCAATGTGTGCAGAATTTTTCAGCTACCTTGTGGCAGTACGCGAGCACAGTCCTACCTCTGTCAGCCTGGCACCGGGGAGCTCCGTGCCGCTGCCGATTCGAAGCATTGACAATTTCATCCTTTCTCCGGGACTGCACGACGTGGATCACCTCCAGGTGCTCATCGAGAGCAGTAGAAATGTTGGCGTGGAGGGGAGAGCTGCGGAGGCGCTCCATTTTTCCCAGTAAAGTCACAACCTAAGGAACGTGGTACGTGTTACAGGAGTTCAAACTATACTCATCTCGACTTACAAGAAAATTAACTCTATCAGGAAGAACGGACTAACCATAACCATTACTTTCTTTTGAGAACAGTTCACAAAGTTATAGTTCAAGTAGTTTTAACTTCTTACCTAGGATTTCTGCTTCTCCAAACCCGAAGCTGTAGGACACGTGCACAACAGCAAAGCTCAAATACTCAGATATTAGGACACTTACTTATTAATTAATAACAGATGTATAGAACTTTGAGACCACCATGTAACAGGAGGTGGCTCCATGACAACGTGCATTCCTCTGAATCACCACCACCGTGGTCCTCCCTTTTGCCAGCACTGCTGCAATGACTGGGGTGAAAACCAGACCCACAACGACAGGCCAGTTCTCACCCAGATGCCAGCACAAAGCAAGGGGCACCGCAGGAGAGGGGCAGTCGCAGTCTGGACTGGCTGAAGCTGCGTCAGAACCACGCGTAGGCTGACTTTCAGGATGGATATTCCAGACTGGAGGAGCTCTTTCAGAGAACATCGAGCACGACCACTCAAAATCATTCAGTTTTGATTAGTTCATTGAAAATCTGAGTCTTTGTTGTCTTGTTTATCTTACAACAGTCACATTACTATGAATTTCCCCTCCGTGAATGATTCCAGCCATGGTTCACAGACCACTGAAGAACCTGGATACTGGTCTGCAGAAAGAGGTAAAACTAAAAATTCCAAAATTGCAACATTCACTGGGCAGTGGCTACACTTGATGGCTACAGAGAAGCCTGATGATTAATGGTCACCCACAGGTTGGAAATAACAAACAGAGGGTCTGGGAGCACAGTGCAAAGAGAAGTTCTCGGTATTTCCTTGCAACAGAACGACTGTAGGCTTCCCTAGGAAAAGGACTGGCATGGAGTTTTGTTTAAAATGTAAGAAAGGGTGGCTAACACAGGCATTGGAACCAGGACAATTCACCCAGTCTGCCCCAACTCCTCGCCGAGGGCTCAGGAGAGAGCATTCAGGAAGGAGCAAGCTCCCGCTGCCAGGCTCTCCCGTGCTCCCTTAGAGCTGGCAAGAGCCTGAGGGGTCAAAGAAAAAATGTAAGTGGGAATAAACCGAGCAAGTTATTGCACGACAACCAATGAACTCACAAAGTGACATTTCATGTTTGTGAGGAAGCAAAGAGTTTTCCTAAAAATGAAAGGAGAATTTCACATGAGCAACTGAGGAATCAGTCACTAGGATCGGAAACTCAAGTAGGTGACTTGAAAATCACTGGATTTGGTTCTGAAGTAAAAGCCCAATTTTAAGGAGTGGCACAGAAGTATTACACTAGCAAGTGAAACGAAGCAAGATGAACCTGACAGACGTTTCCCAGTCTTACACAACGGTACATCCACAGAAGGACTTACGTTCTGAGGACCTGCTTTTCAGGTACCACCACCTCATCCAGTGGAGTCCACAGCTGACAGTTAAATGCCTACGTTCTTTATACTATGCCTGGCAGAAGTGCCAGGGGTCTAAAAGCAAACTCCACAAAAGCCAGCAAAGCTGGGTGGCCCCAGCGACCCACGGCTCACACGCTTGCTTCACCACCCCCTCAGCTTCTTCAGAAGTTCCCTCTGCTTCCTTCCCCTCCCGACTCAGACGTTAGCTACGCCTGCCCTTCTCTTGCAAAGCACAGCTTATCCCTTCGGACTGCCACGAGGCTTGCCAAGCAATCCAGATCCTTCACTGGGAAAAGCAGCAAGCCACCAGTGGCACTGAGGCTGCCTGCTGCGGGGCAGGTCCCAGTGGAACAGCCAGCAGAGCCCTGGGCCCTGCAGTCTAGAGGTGGGCATACACCATGGGATGAGGACTGATGTTTCAGGCTCACCTTTGATGGCTGTTCTTCACAAAACAATGTATTTGGAGCAGGAACTTTCCCCAGCCCATACAGATACCCTCACAACTAGGAAAAAACTCCTATTTCCTCTCTCTGGCAAAAATGGTTACCAGTCCAGAATAGAAGAGCTTCACCAGGACCAGCTGAATGTCCGGCCTCAGAGTGCCCCCCAGTGAGGCGATTATGGTGTTCTCCAGTTCCAACGGAGCTGTGGATTTACTTCTCCCCAGACACAAGGGAGATGAGATACAGGCTGTAGAGATGAGATCCTGGTTTAAAGTTTGTTCTCTGACTATTAAGTGGGTTTAATAGCTACTGATGGCATAGTGAAGGAAGCTACTGCCACCTCTCCACCAGCTGTGCTTTGCTCTAGAACTGAAGGCAACCACAAGTGGAAGTCTCAAATGAGAAAACCAAAGTGAAGTATGTGACCACCAAGAGGACTGAACTAGATGCTCCACACTGCGAAGAGTTAATCCCAGTTTTGCCAGCTCATCTTCCACTTCAACCTTTGTCCCAGTGTTTCCCTTTGGCCATCACTACGCTTTCTGATGTTAGAATCCAGGTTCGAGGGCCCTGCTGTGCTTTTGAGCATCCTTGGAACTACTTCCCAGTTGCTGCGTAACAAGTGTTCGAGGTTCTGTGCCCTGAAGTTTGGCTCCTCACATGGGTAGAGAACATTAAGTCCTTTTTTAGCTGCAGTTTGAAGTACTGGGACAAGGACAGGCGAGCTGTCTCACAGTGGAAGCTTCCTAATGCTGTTCTTTTCACAAACCAGCAGTTTAAAAAACACGCACTAAGCTTATCGACACTCCTTCACTCCACCCAGCTGTCGGAACAAAACCAGGCAGTCGCACCAGACGGATTTCACGAGGCAGGCAGCAGACGTGGCTCCATGGCTTGTTTCACCCGTGCCAGCCCGGCAGGACAGGTCCCCTGTTACCACCGCTGCCCTGGGAGCAGCTGAGCTCCGCAGCACGGTTCCTCCCAGAGCCACCGTTCCACGGAACAGCTGCTGCCTTTCGTCCCACATCCCCTCGCAGCGCCCAGGTTCTGCCATCTGTGCTCTCAGCCCACGTTCCTCCTCCTCCTGCAGCACGAGCATCCTGGCTCCGGCCTCTCAGCCCCAGCAGGGCCCACATCAGTCCCTTGCTGTGCCGCCAGCAGCTCGGATCAGACCGGCTCGTGCTTGCCTCCTCCTCCTCCTCGCCTCCCTTCCTGCGCAGGCTGCTGCCGCGCAAAGCAGCGCGATGCTGCACGCTGGCACCATCGTTTGGTCACAGAGCCACTGGCAGCTCAAAGGGCTCCAGTCACACTTGCCCTACTGGTTGTGGCCGTTTGAAGCAAACTGGTAATGTAGCAGTTTGGGCTATTTCCATCAAATAACCATGCTGCATTAAAAATATACAAGTGTCTCAAGCAAATACGTATCAATGTCTTACAAACATTAATTAAACTTTTTTTTTCCCCCCACAAATACTTCCTCTAATACGTTGTGTACAAATCTCTAGTGAATGTTTCTCTGCGGAATGGCTTGAAACAGAAGAGCTTAAAAGTCAGGCACATCTTGGACGACTGGATTCTGGCGTCTCATGCACGCCCTTGTACCAGAAAACCCATCCTCCTGGCACGCCTGCACGCAAACGTGGGCCTCAGCTACCCAGAGCGTTCCCTGGTAACAGCAGCAGTCAGCCTGGAGCTGCGCAAATTCCAGCAGGGACTGCTGAAATATTATTCCCTGCACAGCACTGAAGAACAAAGCTATTTTGGGAAAAGCTGCTCTGATCATCTTACGTGTCTTACACTGAACTCTAAGTTCTGTGTGATACCTTCAATAGATTTTTTTTTTTTTGGTGTCCTACAACTCACTCTGGCTCGTTCACGCAGCTGGTCCACAATCAAGCGATCAACTCTTGATGGGTTTGATGTCAGCCTTGGGATTGGAGTGTTGTTAGCACTGGAAACCTTCTTCCCTTGGAAATTCTTAGCAAGAGCTGATTCAGTCTGAAGGAAAACAAAAGAATGTAAGCTGCGCAGTGTGCTTTATTATAGAAACAAGAAGAAATATCAGATAAACAATTTTTTTTCCCTTAGAGTTTTGGATTTTTTTTAAAGCAGACTATGAGGATTGTGATTATTAAATCCCAATTCAGGTGTTTGGGATTTAACCACCTGTTTTAAGTGGACAACCACTTTACTCAAAGCAGTTCAACTAAAGGGATTACGCCACCATAACACCTTTCAGAAGTGCTACGTCTTCTCACACTCTGAATACAGCCCGTACCAATTTTGCCTGCAAATAAAATGGAGGCAGGTTAGAATTATGAGGCAAAACAGGTGGAGCACAGGTGCAGACCTCATCCACAAAATTAAAATAAAATTAAGTCAGCAATCAACTTGAATTTTGTATAGATTAATCAAACTACAGAAAGCTTTTTTTTTTTGTTAAAATAAAATCATATTTTATTTAGCCAGGAGAAAATGACTTTAAAACCTGACTGCAGGATTTCGGTCTCTCTCACCCCGTTGTTCTGTCACTCTGAACACCTACGACAGTGCACAGCAAGCTAAAGCTGTTTGAAAATTCCAGTCCTTAGATGGTCTGCTGGTGGCTCAAACTTGAAGTAGGGCTTCACACAGAGCTACCTGAATCTCTTCAGTCAAGTATTTCAGTATGACCCTTTCTTCAGCTTCTGTTTCTGAGGGTAAAAAAAGCCTCTTCAAACACACCTTAGGTTTAAAACTTGAGGGGAAACAGGAGGTGAGAACTCACTGAAAGAACTAAAAGTGTAGAGTCCAAGAAATGTAATTAATTCTCAAAAGGATTTAAGCTTAGTCCCAATTCAAAACATATTTACTGGATTTGCTTTCAAAGTTTCCAGAGGCACTGTGGGTTTTTTTTTCCAATACAATAAGAGTAACATGGCTTTGCTGGTCACACAACACACCTTCCCCAAACCCAACACAGAGGCTGAAAAAGTCACTGAATTCCTGCTCCGAGTGCACCATACGACACACCAGGCTAAAAACCTTCAAAACCTCTGTTCCCGGTCCCGAACACACGGGAAGCAAACTCTTGTAGCTCTGAAGTGCCGTTAAGCGTTTCGCAGCAGTGAGAATTACCCGTGTTCTCTAACTGGTCTGAGCAGGAGGAGATCTAGACCACATCTGTGATACAGCATATTAATTCTTTTTTTTTTTTTACCTTCTTTCTTTCTTTCTCCAAAGCTCTCCACTGTTCATAACACTCTTCTAGTCTAACATGAAGTTCGCTGGCAGCCCCAGTACGGGTCTTAACTTGCCTTTGAAATCCAAATGCTGGCACAAAACCAGCAAGAGAACTGTCAGCATACACCTTATCATTAAAATAAGGGTAGAAGCCTTTGAGATCGTTGCGGGAGAGCAAGCCGTGAGACTCCATCAGCGGGACGATGGAGTGGCCGAAGAGGGGCGCGGGTCTCAAGGGGACTGCGCTCGAGCCGAGCGGCGGATTCCGTCCGAAGTCCCCCATCGCGCAGCTGCTGGAGAAGCCTGGAGCCTGCAGGCGAGCCACAGGAGTGATGGCGTTACTGTCTGCGCTTCCCTGCCTGTGCTTCAACGGAGAGCCCAGGGCATCCTGGTACACGTTCTGCACCAGCCCGTCCGCGTGTTTCTGCCCTCCCGGGTCACAGCGCTCGCACTGCGCCTTCAGCTGGCAGCGCTGCTTGCTCCTGCTGTCGAGGGCCCCGAACTGCTGCGCTGAGTAACTGTCACAGAACCCATTTGGCTGCTTTAATTTCTTTTCACTTAAATATTCGACGAGATTCTCTTCTCCGTTCCTAACCAGTGCTTCCATGCAAGCAGCAGACCGAGCTCGTTCTGCAGTGTTACAACCAAAATCGAGGCTTGAAAAAAATGAAGGGTGATCTTGACAGTACTTGTGAAATAAATGACTATTCAAAGGGAAGTTCGAAGATGGTAACTGAAAAAAATCATTAGAACGACCGGAGCTTTTTGGAAAAGCAGGTAAATGATTACTCAGTTTCAACAAAGGACTCGGATTCTGAAGCGGGACAGCAGCAGCGGCAGCTTTAGTTGGAAAATTCATCCAAGTTGGCCTGACGTTAGTGCCCGCTGAAGGGTTTGCCGAGTTTGCCAACAATGGAAGGGACTTACAGTATTCTGAATTCTGAAGATCGGGCTTGGAAAACTGCTGCTGTTCTACACCGTTCACACAGTCACTATTCGCTGGACAAGCTGCAAAAGGTTTGATTCCATATTCAAACTTTTGCCCCGAATCAGCACAGAATGCAGCTTCATTTGCAAATTGTTTTTCTGACAGAAGTCCTACAGCCTTGGGAAATGTAAAGTTTTGCTGATCTGAAATTGTATCTTCTATTTTTTTCTGAGTTCCTGATTTAACTTGAAATAATTTAGCGTGGGGCTCCACGTCCAGAGATGGTGCCTCAATGGTTCCATTTACTAACTTTTTGTTATCTTGGAGGCTACAATTGATGCTCTTGTTGGGCTTTGCTTTACTAGCATGAGAATATTCGATGTATCTACCATAATCTGCATTTTCATTGTATCTTTGAAACTGGGGAAGAAACGTTTCTGCCCACTTTTGGTGCAACTTAGCATCTGCTCCCTTGGGACACACCTTCTCCCTTCCGTAGGAATAGGCATCAGCTCCCAAGTCTTTGATTAATTCTGAATGCGCAAGTTGGGGCGTGAAGGTAGTTTTTATGTACGGATAGTTCGGATATACGGGTGGTGCCTTCACATTCTCATGAGCCTGGATGTTGTAACAGGTGGCATGATCACTCTGAGAAGGGTACACACATGGCTCTTCAAGGTCTATGCCAGGAAACCCACGATAGCATTCGTCTGCTGTATGCTGGGATGCAAGATCACCACTTTGCAAGTACTGCTTTTCAGCAGCAGAAACAGATTCGCCACCATAAAAACCCTGTGGTGAGACAGCTCCAACAACTGGTCTTTTAGTTTCTGGCAACAGGTCGTGGTGGTCTGTGACTCTAGTTGCATTCAGAGGCCACACTGACTTCGGGTTGGAAGGGCAACTCCTTGAAAAACAAGAGATACATGGTTAGATTCTCATCTGTGGTGCTCCTCTTCCATACCCGAATGCAGAAAAAGGTTTGAGAACCCAATTCTTCCCAAAACATTTCTCTCAAGTGATTCAAAGAAGTCTTACTCCAAATTCTACCTACTACTGTCACCACTGCAGCTTCCCTTAACTAGGTGAGAAAACTGATCCTATCTTGTCTGATTCCCAAACTGCCACGACCTTTCAAAGCCATGTCCCAGCACTCCAGACAAAACTCTTCTCCCTGTCATCTTGCTTCCTGCTTCAGAATCACCTGTGTTTTACACTGGCTTACACTGCTTCCTGCTGGTAAATCCAGAACAAGCATCTCAGCACATTTCCTTCCACTAATTACCATGAATTAGCACAAGACAATCACTGGCCATGAAGAAAAGCTGAAAACAGACAAGGTAAAAAATGGAATTGTGCCGGGAAGTCAGTACAGTTACTGCCAAATTTGGCAGTGCTGAAGACAGAAATCCAACCTTAATTGTGGGAAGCGAAGGAATTAGTAAGTTAGCTTTTGATCAAGACTGACTCTCTAAAGTTTTCCTTTGCTTCAGCCACTTAACTGAGCACACATACAGGAATCATTGGAATTGCTTGGGAAGACAGAAAGGAAGAGGGTGCCTGGCTTGGGAAACGGGTTCCCTTTCTTATCCCTTAGACCTGAGGTACTCAGGTTCAAGCAAAAGACCGTCAGCTCTCTGAGTATCTCGGGGATGCTGGATCCGAATCCTCTGTGTCAAGTTGTTACGACTATCTAATAGTATCTTCTGGTGCTAGAATACAGGTATAAAAATCTGACATTTAGATATGCAAATATTGCTTAGGAACATCCATTTTGCATAGAATTCTGCCCTCCTGCCAGTTCAGGAGAGTGTGAAAGAGCGTAATTTCGTGTTTTGTGTATTATTTCCATGAACTGAAATTAAGACAGAAACCTAAAATCTGAATTCGATCTTGGTCTAAAAAATAAAATAAAATATAGGCCAAGGCATAAATTCAAGGAGATTTATTCAAATACAGCATTTCCCCAATGCTTGTTAAAAACTTATTTAAAAAATGCCAAAGTTTTGTAAATATCAGGAAGCCAGAAGCTACCCCATAACTTGGGTACCTCGAGAGAAGCTTTCAGGGCTCACAAGTGACATGTTAGAAGATTAGGGGGAAGGAGGGGAAACCAAAGAGCACGAGGACTCGCCAGCAGCAGATGCAAAGATGACTACAGAGCAGGGACACAGACAGCAGCGAGGGCAGTTTTTGTCTGAGGAAGGGAACGCCAGCAACGCACTCACCCCTCAGCACAATACGGCTGCGATTTATCTTGCTCTTCCAAGATGTTAGACACAAGTCCATATAAATCTGTCTCACTGCCATAATCGTTCCTTTCAGGCTGAATCCTGAGAACGAATTGCATATTAATGAAAACAATTACTTCGTTCAAAATATTTCCTAAGTTAAATTAAACCAAAAGAAACATAATCCATCTGCTCCATCAACACACAGGTTCTCTCTCTGTCACAGACGAGTACCTGGACTTCACGCCGATCTGCGGAGCCGCAGGCTGCTTAGTGTCATCTCCGTACGCCGACCACGGCGCGTACAGGAGGGAGGAGTCCACGGGCGCCGCGTACTCTGATGTTGAAAGGGAAGAACTGTAGCTCTGAGGTAGCTGTACGTTTTCTTCGTTCTGCATGTGATGTACAATAAAAGCATTATTGTAAAAACAACATTAAACACATCAAATTGACATTCCTCACTCTGTGGTTGTAACGGAGTTCACTCTCAGAGCACCCAGAGCACGAGAAGCCAGCAAGCCACATTCTTCTGACGCAATGCTACAGGTAGGCGCTGCTGATGCTGCCCAGTAAAATTTGGGGCCACAGCAGCCCAAAACGTCTGCACCAGTTTCTAACAGATGATCACTGCCAGGAGTCGGGAGACATCCCCTCCCTCCCCATCATGACAGGCTCTTTAAGCTACTGCAGCAGATTTCCAGCCAATTCTTTTCCAGAGGAAAGGCCTTCTACCCAGCGTAAGTGAAAAGGAACGTTTGCTTGTTTGGCTCAAGCACGACATGCTTTCTCAGCGCTTGCTAACTGACAGAATGAACAGGGTTTGCACAGGGTTAAATTCCCTTATGGAGCAAAGCAGTCTAGCAGCTACAGAACAGGACACACATACACAGGTTTTACTCCCTGTAAGACTTTCTGCCTTCACATCTCTGTTCCCCACATAAAATTCTCCTGGAAGCAAAAAAGATGCCCAGCTGCTGGACTGAAGGACACGGACACACAAAGCCAGACTGGTCTCAGACAGAATAAGTAACAGGTCTGCTGTTGAAGCTACTGGGAACGAGTTTTCTTTCATTTATTTGTCTTTTACCTCGGTGAAAGTTTATGGCTACGAAAGGCAAAAAGAGAAAAAGAGAGGGCTGATGAACTCAACTGCCCTGGCATTTCCTGCTGGTCGGATTGAGAACCCCCTGCTCAACAGGCTGGTTTACACGGGCGTTTGGACTTTACAGCTGTGGTGTGCCACAGAAATAGCTGTTCCAATAACTAAGCTTCTCCTCCTCACTGACTTCTGTTTTCCTAAAAACAGTAATTTGCTTCTCACAATTGTTTATGCTAGAACAAAGAACACAGTGAAACACTATTTCACTCAACACCACATATTCCTTCCTCCGTGACTGTATTAAAAAACTCACTGCCCTTTCTGATGAACATTATGACGATGGAGATTTATTGTGAATAAATCAAACACGGTGATTCACGTTCATCTGTATTAGGAATATTTTTTGACCATTTTGTTTATAAGCAACCTAAACTCTTACACAGATACAAAAAAATCGTTCATGATCAACTGCACCTGTGATTTGTAGCAGCCATACAGCGAGCCAGAGCCTGTCATTATGCTACTGAACGCATCGGTCAGCCTCCCGCCAGCTTCCGTGCCGCTCCAGCTGCGACTGCCCCCTCTGAACGCGACTTTAGGCTACACAAAGGGGAAAACAAGTGGGAGAAGGCCATAATTATACATAGAGCTGAGAGCTGGAGATTTTATACCAACACTAACTTCTTTAAAGCTTTAATTTACCTGGGAATTGTGCTCCATCTGAGTTTTCAAGGAATTAGTTTTACATGTTGACATTAGAACACTTTTCATACTTACCTTTAGAGAAAAGCTTAACCCAACAAACCACAAGAAACTCCCAAGGTGTTTAGAGACAGCAGAGGCAGGGATGAAGAGGGAACCTGCATTCTCTCCCTTATCACTAGGTGAGCTTCTGAACACCCGAACCACCCCAGAGAGACACCAACGACAAAGTGGAAGAACTGTCACTCCTTTCACCAGCAGCAGAGGAGTCACTCAGCCTTCAGCGCGCTGCTCGACGCCTCTCGTCCCTTCACCACTGCTCTTTTTACATTGTCTACATCAACACATGCATGTGGGTTTTCAGATTGCAGGAGCTGGAATTTTGCTGCAATACACACACTGGGAGCTACAGTGGGAATCTGTCCCATTCTTTAAACGTGGGAGAAACAAGTTCCGCCTAAGAAATATCCCTGACGCCATCATTAGCCTGGAAGTGCTCAGAAATAGGTGGCCAGTGGGAGCAAGGAATGAAAATAAAACATCTTTCCTTGCCTTTTTCAGAAGGTGAGGCACACAAGGAAAAATTAAAGTTAAAACAAGACTGACTAGCTAAAGAAACCTTTAGCTCACAAACAAAGTGAAGTTATGTGCATAATATTTAAAATATTACCATAGCAGCTCATTTGAAATACTTATTAAATCCAGAAAAAGTTCCAAGTTTCACAGGGCTAGCATTGTGAAGCATCCTGAATAAGCACTCCACTCCAAAAAGAGCCACCTGAGGATGAGAACGGACTCTATATCCAACGTATGTGGTCTATGGCATGATCTTCCTCCTAGTTTACGCCACAGTTACACCAACGTATCAACACACGGTATTTTTGAGACCATTTTACAAACACATGAACGTGTAAAGTTGGAATTAGTGTGGCGCACAGCTCCGCACCTGATAATTATGCCGCATTTTCTCCTTCGTTATCTCCCCGTTTAGCAAGGACACCCAGACCTTACACGACTGGTGATCTCAAAGAACGAGCAGACACGTAAGCACGAGGGGCTGCTGCACATCTGTGACACTCCCCACACGCGCTGAACCACACACGCTCCATTTATCGCAGACGGAATTTTTCAGGACACTGAACACTGAGAAGCGTTTTCCTGACGTTTTCCAGCTCGGTTTTACCGCACCCGTCACCACACTCGGGCCCGGGTCTGGACAGCGCTGGGCGCCGGGTGGCCCCTCGCAGGAGGGCGCCGTGACCCCGAGCAAAGCCCGGTCGCGGCGGCAGACACAAGCGGGGGGAAGGCTCGAAGCC